AAAATCCAGAAAATCACATTGTCTGATTTTTAAAGAATTTATTTGCAAACCATGGTGGAAATTAAGTATTTGTTCACCTACAAACAAGCAAGATGTCTGGCTCTCACAGACCTGTAACTATTTCTTTAAGAGGCTCCTCTGTCCTCAACTATGAGAGACGAAATGGGAAAACAAATCCAGAAAATCACATTGTCTGATTTGTAAAGAATTTATTTGCAAATCATGGTGGAAAATAAGTATTTGGTCACCTACAAACAAGCAAGATGTCTGGCTCTCACAGACCTGTAACTATTTCTTTAAGAGGCTCCTCTGTCCTCAACTATGAGAGACGAAATGGGAAAACAAATCCAGAAAATCACATTGTCTGATTTGTAAAGAATTTATTTGCAAATCATGGTGGAAAATAAGTATTTGGTCACCTACAAACAAGCAAGATGTCTGGCTCTCACAGACCTGTAACTATTTCTTTAAGAGGCTCCTCTGTCCTCAACTATGAGAGACGAAATGGGAAAACAAATCCAGAAAATCACATTGTCTGATTTGTAAAGAATTTATTTGCAAATCATGGTGGAAAATAAGTATTTGGTCACCTACAAACAAGCAAGATGTCTGGCTCTCACAGACCTGTAACTATTTCTTTAAGAGGCTCCTCTGTCCTCAACTATGAGAGACGAAATGGGAAAACAAATCCAGAAAATCACATTGTCTGATTTGTAAAGAATTTATTTGCAAATCATGGTGGAAAATAAGTATTTGGTCACCTACAAACAAGCAAGATGTCTGGCTCTCACAGACCTGTAACTATTTCTTTAAGAGGCTCCTCTGTCCTCAACTATGAGAGACGAAATGGGAAAACAAATCCAGAAAATCACATTGTCTGATTTGTAAAGAATTTATTTGCAAATCATGGTGGAAAATAAGTATTTGGTCACCTACAAACAAGCAAGATGTCTGGCTCTCACAGACCTGTAACTATTTCTTTAAGAGGCTCCTCTGTCTTATTTTCCACCATGATTTGCAAATAAATTCTTTACAAATCAGACAATGTGATTTTCTGGATTTTTTTCCCCATTTTGTCTCTCATAGTTGAGGTTTACCTATGATGAAAATTACAGGCCTCTCTCATCTTTTTAGGTGGGAGAACTTGCACAATTGATGGCTGACTAAATACTTTTTTGCCCCACTGTATTTGGAGGAAGTTGCATGTTCAGTATTAGAGCACATGAACACACGATCTCCAAATAAACAGGCACAAATATTAGCAATATAAACATTGAGAGAGTTGGAATTGAGATCATATTCTGTTTTAACAAGCAGAAATACAGACATGCTTTAGCTTGTGATTGCGGTGCCTTCGCACAAATAGGCCAAGAAACCAGGAAATCTTGTAGTTGCCATTTTGTCTGAATCGGAGAACTCGTGTTGGAGACTTGGGAAATAAGTAGAACAGAAAATGAATACCTAGTAAAGGAACACTGAAGTTAGGTATTTTTTATTTTCCTATCCAGCTAATAATATTGTCCATTTCAGGATCGAGTGGCATTCCTGTGAAAGTAGTTACCAACCTGTTTAGTTTAGGTTTGCCTAGGGAATGGCAGCTTTACCAGTACCACGTAACATTTAATCCAGGGCTGGAATCAAGACGTTTACGGATTGCGCTGTTGTACAACCATGTTGAATTTCTTGGAAAAGCCAAAATATTTGATGGAGCAATCCTGTTCCTTGCACACAAGCTTGGGAACAAGGTAAGACTCTGGTGTGTGCGTGTGTGTACATGTATGTGGGGGGGGAGAGAGAAGGATGATACTTTTTAAAGAACTTGTTGCTACTATGGTTTATCTTTGCCTTTGAAATTTGAGCGAGAGAGTAGGATAATGTTTTTAGAACAAAGAACAGCCACTTATGTACTTTCATTCCCATTGTTCCTGCAAGGGAATTAGGTAAATACATGGATAATGAGATTACAGAGGGGTATTTTATATCCAGGGATAACAGGTCTCCTGCCTTTCAATACCATTTATTGAGCAGTACAAGCAGGGGTTGAGATTGTCTTCATGTTCTGCTTCAGAGCATCCGGGTGGCAACTCTTGAGAGATGGATACTAACTAGGCAGGCCGTTAGTGTAATTCAGGAGAGTTCATCTTTTGTTTTTACTCTCCTCCATTTCCCTTTGCCTCATTCCTTGCTGTGTATCATCCTACACCTTGACTTTCTGCTCCAGTCCTGGCTTCTACACCATTAGACAAGTTCAGTCAATCAATTTGTTTATTGTTTTGACTGCTGGTCATAACAAATATATAAGATAAAACCTACATTGATTGGCCATACGTTAATAAAATATGTTAAAATGTGCAAAAAACAGTAAGAACATTAAAACACTGTTATTATAGCAGATAAAGTAATGGAAAAGCATTAGGAACTTTTGATAAAAATCATCTCTCTGTTTAGCAGCAGCCCAGGCAAAGCTTGCTAATCTCTATAGTGGTGTCACTTTGTCTAAATTCATTAAATATTCAATTTTATGTGAATCGAGCCAAAATGATTTTCCTATCAAGAGGGGCTCCAAAGATTTTCCATGTGCTGAAGTGGAAATAGGACAGTACAATAAATAATGCATAAAATCTTCTATAATTTCTTTGAAACATGGGCAGAAGCACATATTATATGGGATATTAAGAAATCATTCCTCTCTAGTTGTTGATGGCATTTGCTGGAGAATACCTCTTGGAGGGATGACACTGTAACACACCTCAGATAACGTTCGCATTCAGTTTTGATTTTATTAAGTATGTACCAAGGGGCAATTTTATTTTGTGATAGTTTAAACAAATTTCCTTGGGCAAAGACATTCGGCATCCTGTTTAGACAAGTTTTTGTTGCTTCTTCCTCCTCCTGTGCTGTTGGTTGTGGCTGAGCTGGTAGAAAAATAGTTCATGCCTTACTGTATAGGCTGTTGGATAATGTCTGTATTCTGTTCTGAGTTATATTTTCCACCCACGTGGTTCATCAGCATTGTCTCTGCCAGTTAGGAAAGCTAGTGTCTTAATTTTGGTTTGTTCCTCCTGTTCTATCACAGTAAGATGTTGTGCTAAGACTTATGAAACCCAGTTTGAAGTCTGCACTAGATCTCTGGGTGATTATGGGGCAGTAGCTCTAAATCTGGCATATCTCACTGAATGTGATAAAGATTCACCTCCCATGTATGGGGCCTTGAACTTTCAGTGGAGAGGTAGAATATAAAGGTGATCATTGCTAAATGAAATTGTGATAAAACTTTTGGGTTTCCATTAAAACACATGCACAAAGTAATTCCAAAACAGACTTGGTTTATGTCAGAGATTGGACACTTCATACTATATACTAAACTCCAAATTTATATAACTACTCTGTTCAGTTCCTATCCAGCCAGTTTTCCATCTTGATTTACAGTAATAAGCACTCCATGTAAAGTTTATCAAGACACTTGAATGTGGTTGAGCTTGTTAATTCTTTAATTTGGGTTAACTCACAATGTGTTTGGTTTGGCTAAAACAGCAAGCTGTAATTAATTATAAAACAGCAGAACAATTTGATTTCTTTGTAATATTCTTCTTCATGCTCTCTTTCAGAGGGAAGTGGAGCATGAAAGGGTGGGACTTGTTCTGATTTGTTCCCATAACCCATGGTTTATTCTGACATCTGAATCAGCTCAGTGTGAAACCCTTCTTTACCCTCTTTATTGTCTTTCATTACTCATTGTTACAAACAACGTTGGTACACAGTTGTAAGTTAAATAAGCAGACTCCTGCCTTATTTAATGGCAGAAGAAAAATGAAAGAACAATAAAGGGATTTTTTGTAAACACCTTTATAAGCTTTAGTGTTCTCCAAAAAACCAGGAAGGAGTTGTACAATATAACAGTTTGTATTAGATCTCTGGCAATTGAATTTTTTTGTGTTAAATGAGAAACCACACACATCATATATTCCCTTCTTCCTAGGTCACAGAACTGTCTTGTGAAACCCAAAGAGGCAATCATGTAAAGATAACAATCACATTAACTCAACAGCTGTTTTCCAGCAATCCTGTGTGCATTCAGTTCTTAAACCTCCTCTTTAAAAAGTGAGTCTTTGGGCATGGGGGTGGGGCAGAGAGAAGGAAAGAAGATCCAGTTTTAGACTAAATTCTTATTCAAGTGTCTCATACTGTAAATTGCTATTTATTATATGTTTTGTGGTACTCCTAATTAGGAATATGTGAAGTAAAGGTTATCTGCCAATTCCAATACTAAACTGATCTGATCTATATCTTCAGACCAAACTGCAGTTCAGAGCACTGATTCCTTTCTGGTTTGGTCTTTCTTCAAATTTTGCAATGTGGAAATCCAAAATAAAGCATTCTTCCTATATTGCTATCTAGCCCCTACTTGAACACATTTGGTTAGGGGAGCCCACAACCTCTCTGGGTAATTGTTCTACTATTGAACCGCTCTTATAGTTAGTTTTTCTCAACATTGAACTGAAATCTATCTTCTTGTCACTTTAATCCATCATTCTGTATCTTTGGAACCAAACAGAAGAGGTGTTGACCTTCTTTTACGTGACATATTTTCAGGTATTTAGAGAGTTATGCCATATCCCTTAATCTTTCATCAGGGCTACAAATAGCCAACACCTTTAATCAATGTTGACAGAACTTGCTGTAATTTCTAGTCCATGGCTCATTGCTGTTGACTTTCTTTCCACCTGTTCAATTTTTAAGAGTCCTTCTTGAGGTATGATACCTAGAACACATTAGACCAGAGTACATTAAAGTGGAAATTGGAATGATTACTTCCCGTGATTAGGAAATTGTTCTTCGGCTAAAGCAGCCTGCAGCAGAACCTGTAGGCTGAAGATTGGAATCTTAAGTCTCCTTTTCAAGAGGCCTCTGGATATTCAAACTCTGCTCCATTCTGTCTTGGGTAGAGAGTAAGGAAGATGAGCGTGACAGAGATATGCAAGTTCCATTACCAAAACAACAAGGGGCAAAACATATCTTAAGTCTGCTATAGACAGAAAAGGCTCAGACAGATGCCTCCCTAATTCACAGGAGTATAAGAAGGGGGAGGAGGTACTGCATAATCAGACTTGCAGGATTTATGTCAGCCTTACTAGGAAGACCAGACCAGGAAATCAACTGCACAGGAAGGCTAAAGCAGTTTTTATTGAGAGTGGCTATAATAACAGAATCTTGCTTGCATTCTCTTCACCACTTCATCCCTGTCATTGATAAAAATATTGAAGAGTAAAGGGTCAAACCTTGTAGCAGTTGACTTGTTACCTTTCTACAATTTGATGAAGAACCTTTGATGAACACTTAATACCTGGTTAGATTGCAGAATGTGTATATTGTAATTTATCAGTTTTGAAATGATACGATTTTTGCTCCAAAGTGTGCTAATACACTTATATTTAATATCCAGGGTTTTACAAAAGTTGTCAATGTATCAGATTGGACGAAACTTCTACAGTCCATCTGATCCAGTGGAAATCCCTCAGCACAAGTAAGTTGGCCAGCTCATCCTGAAATCTTTGCAGCCTAAATATTTCTGTAGCAAATTAACCCAGTTATTTTATCCATGAATAACTCACTATCTGTTGAGAATTTTTATCAATGTTATCCATTAATTTGATCAATATCCATTTTATCTGTAAATAGATTGTAGTCTATTAACAATTTGTTGTTTTATTTATTAAATTTACATCAGGTAGGTCTTCCAAGAGCTCAGGGTTGAGTATGTGAAATTCTTCTTCCGGTTTTATCTTCACATTAACCCTGTGAGGTAAGCTGTGTCAATGGATGAGGAGTAACCCAAAATGACCCAGAAGCTATGCATGCATACCACTTAGCTATGGTTAACTGATCCATTGTTAACTAATAATGAATATAGTTTTCTCAGCTGATAAACCACACTGAGTGGATTCATATGACATACTTAACTAGGTCTGCTAAACTTTAGTTAGACCCTGCATGTACAAAGTGTGCTGAGCATGGCTAGTTTTAACCCTGGTTAAGTAACCCTAGTTCATCTATTTTTTTTTATCCTGGTTCTTGTGGCTTAATGCTCAAACTGTGGATTGCAGTCCCCCAAAGGGTGCAGGCAACTTGGAGGAGGGGGTGTCGCAATAAAAAAAAAAAAGAATAAACAAGCAGCAAAGGAACTATGAGTGCAAATTTATTTTTATTTATTTATTTATTTATTAAATTTGTCCCCGCCCATCTCCCCCCAATGGGGGACTCTGGGCGGCTCACAACTCATTAAAAACAATAAATAAATATACAATTAAAAACCTATAATCACAATTACAAAAAATAAAGAAAAATCCAGGAGGCCGATGGTTCAAGGCAGCAACGCCAGGCCTCTAAGGGGCTAGCCAACCCCACACTTGACGACTTCCCTCCTCGCCTAAGGCCAGATGGCAGAGCCAGGTCTTCAGATCCTTCTGAAAGGCCAGGAGTGAGAGGGCTGATCTCACCTCTGGGGGCAAGATATTCCAAAGGGCGGGGGCTATAGCAGAGAAGGCCCGCCTTCTGGACCCCGCTAGTCGGAGCTCTTTTGCCAAGGGGGTCCGGAGCATGCCCTTTCTGTGTGATCGGGTGGGACAGGATGAAGTTGGGGAGAGGCGGTCCCTCAGGTAACCTGGTCCCATGCCATGTAGGGCTTTAAAGGTGATAACCAACACCTTGAATTGGACCCAGAAGCAAACTGATAACCCAATGCAGCTCGTGGAGCAATGGTGTTCTGTGGGTCAGTGGTCTCCTCGTCAGAGTCCCAGCTGGCCATGACAGCCAGTGAGTTCAGCGTTAAGTATGGATGTGACCCTGGGGGCTCCCTGGCTTTTAACATCGGCCCCTATTGTAGTATCCTTCCTGCAAACATCTTTCTCATAGGTTTCTCACATCATGGATGGTCAAAGTAAAGGCACTAGAGTGGTGGATATAACAAGATTGATCCCTTTCTTTTTGTTATTATGTCTCATGTACAGATCAGTGAAGGAGCTTTGTACCCATCTTTCAGTCATCTTTAGCACTCGTTTTTTTAATTTTTTGACTTTAAACAGAAAAATTTTAAAAAACAGAAAAGAAAAAAGGAAAAAAGAAAGCAAGATAACTTGTATACCATTTTATTTACATGAAAGCTTTTCATACATGCATATATTATACAAAGTTTTACACCATACTTTCAATAAAAGATTGCGTATTTCATTACAGTCATCCATACATGATTTATATCTGTGAAGCAACATAAATGCAATTAATGTCACGTCTTCAGTCCACTGAGTAATTGGGTCCACAAATGTATCTTTCTAACACTGAAGGACAAGTTTCTTAGCAATAAGCAGAGTTTATGCTCCAATTAGCTGTTGCTTTGTCCCTTCAACTCTCACTGCATATCCAGGACTCTACAGGCTGGTGAAGTAGGCATTGTCTTATTTTTAGCTTAAAAATTACAACTGTTTTCTTGTCTTTGGGAACAGGTTGTCATTTACTTTGTTTTTATCAAGATTTTCTTTTATTAAAAATCCTTTATAAATATATATTCCACAGTTGGTTTGCCTTTTTTAGGGTAGCCTCCTTGGTTTACCTGCCCAATCTAATAGGACCAGGTGGACAATTTTATGGCCCCACTTTAGATTTTTGAAAGGATGAGAGATCCAAAGTGGTTATCACACATATAAGTGTGTTTGGTTGTGGAGGTGGGCTTTCCTTTTTAATATGCCTGTTTTAGGATTATGCTGTACTGTAGTTTTTATCTATTTCCCTCTGAAAATGGCATGAAACTGAAGAAAGTGTAAGATACAGTCATGATCGGAGGGGTTTGAAGGACTGCAAAAAGAGGATTTGGGGGGTTCCTATGGTTCTGGGGTCAGAGGTTGCTTGCTTCAGTACAGGTAGTCCCCAGTTTAAGAATGAATTTGTACGTAAGCTGGAACAGTATTATTGTATAATACTGTATAAGTAGTATTGTGTAATTAACTCAAACCATTGTGTATTTAACTTGAATTTTGCTACAGAAGGCTCTGTTCTTAACCATGGATCATCTGTAAACGGGGCATTCTTAACCTGGGGACTACCTGTAGTAGAGGAAGGAAGTGGAACTTATAGTTGTCCAGATGTTGCTGAACGTCAGCATCATGCATCAAAATCAACACAGCCAGCGATGGGGAATGCTGAAGGTTATATAGCAACATAATTATTATCAGATTGCCTGATTATCAGAGCCTAGATATGGTGGGTAGGACATGTCATCAGAATGGATGACCACCATATGCCTTGCCAGTAGCTCTATAGTGTACTGGAGTCTGGGAAGAGACCTCCAGGTCAACCATGCAAGTGCTACAGAGACACGGAAAGAAACCTTACACCACTGTGACATCCAGCTGTAGCTACTGACAGAACCTGCTGGCGAGCCCTGTGCTGTGAAGCCTCCACTGGCTTTGAAGACAGGCACTGCCAAAAACTGATAGAAAACTGAGCGGCATCACAGAACAACACCTGCAGTTACTACCACAATGGACTTCCAGTGTCCCCATTGTGCTAGACTGTGCTTCCAGACTGGGATTGCAGAGCCACCTCCATGTCCACAGATGAACTACCCAACAGCGGATCTTCTTCGAACCCGAAGGACACCATATATATAGCAATATCTAAGGGATCAGTAGTTTTCTGGAGGTCAGGAGCCATATTGTGTTGTTGTTTTGCTTCCAAAGGTTGGCATTCTAACCTTAAGCTGTTTGATCCTTTTGAGGCATTTGGGAGGGGGTAACCCCCCCCAGTCTAATACAGGAAAAGGGGTGAGGACTAAAGCCTTGCAGGGGCTTAAAGCATTTTTCCCAAAAAGTTCTGAGAATACTCACATAGAAGATTCTCTGGGGGCAACAAAGGAATTGATTCAGGGTTGCATGTAATCCACAAATCCCCTCCCCCCTCCTTTATGTATTGATTCATTTACTCTGTCTCTGGACCACTGTATCTAATGGAGTCACAGCACTTTACAATGCTGTAATCATAACAAGTAAAACCCTACTTAAAAAACCAAACATGAGATCGTCATAAACTTAAAACAATCAAATGAGATCAAAATAAGATGGCTGCCACCACCGATGCCATCTAACTCACACTCACTTTCAAGTCATAGCTTCTTCCCCAATCCTGCAGTCGGAGTTATGTTACAGCTCCACTACATTAAGGAAACAACAACAACTTTTGCCATCTGTGTTTGCTCCTTGTGAATTGCTGAGAGAGTGATGTTGATGTTAGATTTCATGACTTTTTTTAAAAATCCAAATGCAGCTTCAAAGTGTCTTCTAGATGCCCCTTTTCTACTTCAGAATGCTTCATGACGAAAAAATTGGGGGCTCTCTGCCATCCATAGCTTCCTTTGTTTTGTATGTATGTGGATATTTTCTTCTGTTCTTTGCCAGGCTGCTCAGAATCCGTGTATTAGATTGACTCAGAATGTCTTTTCCTCCCCATTTTAGGCTGACTCTCTGGCCAGGATTTGCTGTGTCTGTTGGGCAATTTGAGAACAGAGTAATGCTCTGCGCAGACGTGAGCCACAAAGTCCTTCATAGTGAAAATGTTTTGGAGTTCATGACTAATCTGTATAATGCAGAGAGGGCATGTTTTGCAGAAATCTGTGAGAAGGAATTGGTGGGGCGTATCGTTCTTACGAGGTACAGTTTACCCCTATGGAAACTGGCATCTTTCAAGTGTTAGTAACTTCATGTTCGCTTCAGTTGCTAACATCAATTAGTAAACAGACCCAGAATTTTGACTCATTTTGTAGTTTTATATTGCAGCTTTAAAAATTTACTTCTGTAAGAATCCTATTCTTTGTCAGTTAACAGTTTGTAGAACTTGTAGCTGAGAGCATAATCATCAGAAATGGCCAGATTGATTGACTGACTGATTTCTTTCTTAGGCTTATGTGTTGCTTCAGTCATAAAATTCTCTCTTAAGCAGCATTCATTCCAATCCAATAACAATTAAAATGTAATAGCCTCACATACCTGCCAAATAAACAATATAATGTGCAACAGCAACAAAAATCAGTCATATATCAACCTGGTCAAATCACATCAATTTTATTATTTGTTTTACTAGAATCTTGAGTTCTCTCAACTAGACCAAGATACTTCAAAACACATTCTAAGACCAGAAGTTTTGCTCGTTGTCTTTTCTTGTATAAGCCTGCTTATTGTTACTATATTTCATCCTTTCAGTATCCTAATTTGGGTTTGAAAAGTATTTTTCCCTCCTTGCAAATGATCCAGAATTTTTTCTGAGCACTCTAATCTAAGGAGTATGGTTAATGTTGGGAAGAAGCAAATCTGTTTTTCTATAGCTTTACTTGCAGAGATTATTTTTCTTCCTACCCTTCAGAGCTGTTTTCCTACAGGAATGGGAAAAAATAAACCTTGGCTGGTTTTATTTTGTTTAAGTGATGCTGTTGTATCTCATGTAATGTTAATCATACTTTTATAATGTTCTGATATCTGCAAGGATAATTTTTAGACTATTTTACAGTAGGAATTTGTATACATTTTATTTATCAATCTCATTCATAAAATATAAAACGAGACTAGTAAATAAAAATATGTTTAAGTAAACAAAAATCTGGACTGACAAATAAAACATAATAAAACAAGACACATATCATGCATAATTATACTTTGTCTCTTCCGAAATGGGGCAACATGTATTTTTCACAAGAGAACAGCATTTTTGCTTAAACTTAATGTTTTATTTTATTTTACTTAATGATCTACCATTCATTTGAATTGATTTTAGTAGGTGTGTGGAGGAAAGAGTTATGTCAGGTCACACTAGGGAATACCTAGAATATTTAGAATATTTAGATTTTTTTACTTGACACTTCAGGTACAACAACAAAACATATCGCATTGATGATATTGAGTGGTCTGTGAAACCAACAGATATGTTCCAGAAGCGTGATGGCACTCAGATCTCTTACAAGGATTACTACAAACAGGTAATTGAGAACCTGAATATTGCTGGAAGACACTGCTTCAGTATTTGTAAATATGGTATCCTTAATTGTGTTGGACTATAATTTCTAGCATTCTCAGATTGGTGACATTAGCCCAGAGTTATAATCCAACAGAACTGAAGGATACCAGATTGAAAAAACTCTTCTGGTGCTTTGTCTAAATAGAATAATAATAATTTAAAAAAAAACTATAAAAGAACAGAAAAAATACAAATGCATTGCTTTGTATTTAAGTAGAAAAAGTTTATTCCAAATGCATAGCACCTCTTGTCAAATCTTTAACCAACCCTTGTTTTCTTGGGATCATGTAACTGCCATCAGGGGCAACCATTTGATTGTAGGAAAAGTCAGTTTCTTTAAAGAGTGGTAGGCAGGCATTACATGAGCTCTCTTACACACTTTAAAGCACCTTTATGTGTTCAGATCTTGAGCACTGCACAAACCTAGAAAGTAGCTGTAAAAATATAGGGGAAATCAAGTTAAGTAAATGTCTTAAGTACTTAGGAAATGTCTTAAGTACTTAGGAAAGCAACACATTCTGTTCAGTGGAAAGTCTTGTTTTAGCTATAATGTGTTGCTCATCTACAGCATCATGCTCGCTTACCTCTGATTTCATATTTCTGTGAACAGCAGTACGATGTAGTCTTGACTGATATGAATCAACCAATGCTTGTTAGCCAACTGAAGAGTAAAGGCAGCAGTTCTGCTGAATCCCGTTTGGTGCATCTAGTTCCAGAACTCTGCTACTTGACAGGTAAACCAGCAGCCTCTCTCATTCAGCATTCTGAGCTTGACTTTAGCCAGTTCTGCAGTATTTAAGAGGTAGAGATGAAGTTTCTGGTTTGAAAAGAATATAGAAAAGACATAAAGACAGCACAAGTTTTTTGCATGCAGAAAACTCCAGTTTCAGTTCTTGGCCTCCCCAGGTAATGGATCTTAAGCAAGTCTTTGAAAGATGTCTATCTGAAGCCTCAGGGAGCTATCAATATATGCCACCATTCTAGATGGATCACAAAGGCAGTTTCGAGTCTTTGTGAAGCTCCCTGCAACACCTAGAAATCCAAGGAGCATCTAGGAATATAACTTCAGTCTCTGGGGTGTACACACATTACAACTGGACTAGAAAATAAATTCCACAGAGAATGGACTGCCCTCCCTCCCTCCCTAGCAACCCTACGGCTTTTGTAACTTTCCTGTGTGTTTCTAACAGAGTTTCTGCTCTCCTGAAGATCAGCCTGTTACTAACAAAATGCTCATCATTATGACAGTGGAATGTATATGGAAGAGAATGTGTAAGTTGCTAACCTGTATCTGTGGGTCATTGCTCTAAATTCAAACGATATGACAACTTTGTGGCAAATAGTGAATGGTAAAGTAAGAGTAAGTCTGTCACCCTTGTATTCTAGAATCCCATAATCACTCTATTTTACCAGTATATTCAACAAATCTCAGTCCTTAGAAAATAGGACACCAATTGCTAAGCTGGCCAGGGTTGATCCTTGCCCCCTTTCCACATTTAGAAGTAGATTGGCTGATAGATACCTAAACCTGAATGAAGCTCCTGGGGAGGACTGTCTTCTTTCCAAAATGTTCAAATGCTTTAAAAGAGAGTGGGCTCCCATTCTAATTGCTTTGTTCTATCTAAATAACACTCATGGTTGACTTTCAGAAGTTTGGCATACTAGTACTGTTATTCCCCTCTTAGAAAAGGGCACTGGCATAAATCCAGCAGCTGTAGACCTATTAATTTGATAGATGTAGTGGCAAAACTATATAACAAATATCTTTCGTTCAGATAGAAGAGATATGATGTATTATATCATATATAGAAGATTATATATAGATAGATTATATAGAAGATATATTAGCTTATATATAGAAGATTATATTATATAATATATATTATGTGTGTGTGTGTGTGTGTATGTATGTATGTATG